AATTAGCATTAAAAGTCAGAGTAGAAAAGAGTGTATACCTCTTACGCCCTCCAGACATGCTTATATTGTACCCAATGTCTCCTTTGGAGTTTGGGGACCGGAGAAATCTACGTCACTGGAGGTTGAATCACACAGGAGTAGTTGCTTCAAGACTCGATCTAAGTGCTGTGGATTAGTAATAAAAAAATAATCTTTTCTTCGGTTGTGCACTTCAGAGGCTTTTTTAAAATCGAAACCTTGATTTATCATGCAAATCCTCTCCTTAGAGATGGGGAGATTTTAGTCCTGACGCTAATCAGAGTCCATCCTGTTTCATTCTAGCAGCATTAGAGATACTATAGCACGTATTCCCAGCCAGTTTGAGCCAGGGGCGCTCTAGGGTCTGCAGAACATGGGCACTCTCACAAAATGGCTGCCAGAGATGGTATGGCTTCTTGCTCCTCCTCCTCCTAGCTCCCCTTGATGTCCTCCATCGTCTCAGATTCCTTCTGCTTTTTTTCTGGGCAAGTGGGCACGCTTCCAAAGAGAGTGCGGTCACGTAGTCTCCCTGTGGCGGCGGGCCTTTTCTCGTTGTTCTTTTTCCTTCAAAATTAAGGTGTAACCCCATTAAGTCAGCGATCTTTCTAATGGTTCTTCTGGTTTTGCTGCTGCCACCAGATCCTTTCCTGCTTTGGAAATTCTTTTGTTTTCCTCTTTTATTCTTCTTCTATTCCTGAGGTTAGGCAAGTTTGCCGGACTTGGTGAAGATCAACATAAGTCCCTTCGCTGACATTTAAACAAGAGAATTAAATTAACTTTGAACCAAAAACTCCAAATGGGTTGTACCCAGGTTGCCTTAATACTTCAACAGATCTGTAGTCTGTCTGTCAGTTGCCTTTCGCAGGACTGTTTATTTCTTTATTTTCTTTGGAAGCTCAGACCCAGAGCTCCCATCTGACCCACCTCCGTTCAGTTCCCTCTTCCTCCGGAACGTAATCCAAAGACAAGGGTAGACCTCGTAGTTACCACGCCGTGACTGGCAGTTTTAATACCCAAACAATACAAGCGCTGAGCTGCAGAGATTCTTGAAAAGAAATATGATGTTTGAAGCCAACGTGCTTTGCATTTATTTCTTTATTTCAACAATGAAAGCAGGAGGCAAAGCCTGGTGAAGAGAGGTGTTGCTGCTGCATGAGGGATCCAGGCACTATAATGTCCCAAATTGCTCACCGTTTTCTCCATAACTCCGCCACCCCTCTTTTTAGTTCCAAAGTATGCCAAATGAAATGCGAGTAGGATAAATTAATCGCGTTTAAGGCAGTTGAAGTCCACACATCTTAAAGTTCTCAAGGTTGGTGTAAGGTTCGCTAGCCTGGATTCCATGATTTCCAATGAGACTCCAGACCGAGGTTTTTCCAAAGAAAGTTC